CTTTAATATTTGAATGTTAGCTAATTTGATTAAATTGCTTTCTTCAATTTGAATCTTTATTCTGATTGTTGATAACGTTTAATTGGTTTAATTGTGGAAAATTATGTAGATCCACTCAAATATCAGTTACTTGTTTGTTTATTCTGGGCATTAAGTTTTGTTGGCTATCTTTGTTTTTAACGTAGACTTTGCCTTCAATTTATTTGATTCCTACAGGGAAAGCTTTTGCTTATATAATCACTGTGATTTGCTGGAGGTCTTGATTACATAACCGTTTGTGTTTATATATATTTAATTGGTCTATTGAAATCAGTATTCAATTTCTAAACAGTGCCACCATTACTTACCAAACGGCAAAATTTTGTCTTTAATGACCAACGTCTTTTTGGGGTCAGCAACTTGTATATATATAGCTTTGGCTATTTTGGCTGAACAGATATCTTAATTTGAGCATCTTCTCTCAATTTCTGTCCTCCCACATTATTTCCTTTCCTCACACTTTTCATACAGTTTTGTATTGTGTTAATTTTATTTTTACTTCCCAAGGAAAAGATTCAAGTGTTCATCCGATCCAAGTATTGCGAGTGTACGTTTACAAGGATCAAAGGTTGTTGTATCCTGGAGGGTAGGACGTCATAACCTGATACACCGAGATATTATCTTAGAGGGGCGGATCTACTCTTAAGGACAGTGGCTTACACGCCTCAACCTACTGTTCGTGATCAAATGAGAGCATCCACAACCAAGATTATCCAACAAAATATATTAAGAGCAACAATATCTTGAATATTAATAAAGCTGATCAAGCTGCATGCTCTACTACTTGGAGAGGAATCCTGTTTGGTACTCAAATTCTTCCTAAAGGCTTAAAATGGAGAGTCGGAACAAGTAATGACATCCTCTTTTGGAAGGATATTTGGCTTGATTGTGGCTCTCTCCAGGGTTTTTCCTTACTCCCTCTCTCTGAAGACATGTTACAATGGACTGTGAGGGACTTTATGTCCGAAAGTGGGTGGAAGATTGATTGGCTCACCCAGCTTCTTCCTTATGAGATTGTAGGCAGAATCTGCAGTATTCATACTGGTTTTGAGACTCAAAGGCCAGATAGAAGTATTTGGGATCTTTCTAAATCTGGAGAATTCTCTGTTAAATATGCTTATTTATCCTTTTTTGATGAGACAAATTCTGTGGCTTGGGCTTGGGATTTCATATGGAAATTGCATTTGCTACCAAAGATAAAAACTTTTATTTGGTTAATTGGGCATGGCAAAATCCTTACTAATGTACGAAGAGAGAGTAGGAATTTGACTACTGATCCAAATAGTCATAGATGCCGGTTCCTCCCTGAGACTATGGAGCACATGTTCAAAGACTGTCAACATGCCCAACAGGTTTGGAAGTGTTCATCACCACTCTTTGGCACTATTGGAAATGGAGATGCTGCTCCATTTTCAATACAGGTTATGAAGCTCCTCCATACCCCCAACATATTATTCTACAGTTTGCTAAAGAATGGTATGACATAAATAAGGTGACTAATGTTCTACATACAAGAGAGGTAACTCAAGTTCTTTGGCACTCGCCCTCTCCTGGAAATGTCAAATTGAATGTTGATAGTAGCTGCAAAAATAACTCTGGTTTGATAAGTGCTGGTGGGCTGCTGAGAAACGCCAATGGAACTTGGATCTCTGGGTTTTCAACTAATCTTGGGATTGGAAATATTTTGGAGGCTGAGTTATGGAGTTTAGAGGCTTACAAATGACATAGGCTGAAAACATTAGATCCCTTGATATTGAGAGTGACTCTATGACAACTGTCACCTTGATAACCAAAACCTGTGAGCAGTCCCACCCTCTTTTCTGCTTGATTGAAGATTACGAGGAGTTAATGAGACGGAACTGGAGTTGCAACATCTCTCATGTTTACAGAGAACAAAATAAAGCTGCCGACCACCTTGCCAATATGGGGCATGAGCTCCCTTTGGGTATGCACCTGTATGAGTCTGCTTCTGATTATCTTACCAACACTTTATTGGATGATGAATTAGGGAGGACCCAAGCTAGGGCTGTGCCTGTTTAGCCTTTCTTTCTCTTGGCTTCGGCCATCCTTGTAACAAAAAAAAAAAAAAAAAAACCAAAGGATAAAGAATTGTCATTCAAACAAGATTAATTCAAATTCAAAAACTCAGCAGACTTATCCACGTCATACCTTGGTTTAACATTTACACCATAAATATTTAACTTGAATAATGGCCCATTTAAACCAAGAATGAGTGACAAATAACCTTTTGTTACTAGCATGTGTTAACACATTTTTTTTATACAAACGATATTATACTTTAATTTAATCTAAATTACGAATAGTAGAATTCGAACTCGGGTGCAGAGCGGGAAGCACATTTACTCTAGCCAACTTGATTAAGCCGTGCATGTGTTAACTCTTTGCACATGGTCAATAATTTTTAATTGAAGTTAACGGATGTCAACAATGAAAAAGTCTAATTGCCACTCATTCATGATTTAAGAGTGACATCTTTTTCAAATTAAAGTTGAGTGCTTAAATTGATTTACATATTTAAGTTAAGAGAGATTATTTTTAAGACGAAAAAAAATTAAGAGAGTTTATTCATAATTTATATTATAAATTCCAAATTTAGCAAAAATGTTGACCATAAGATTAAATACATTTTTGTTATTTTAGTAAATTTAATTCAGGTTAATAAATATTTCCATAATTCAAGTTTAGTCGATGTACATTTTACTTTTCAACATAACTCCAATACATAAAAATTCTTCTTTCTTCAATACACAAGAGAGGGAGCTTTTGCTAATTTTCAAATGATTTAGAAAAAAAAAACACACACACGCACACACGAAACCTCGTGGCATCACGTGCCTACTTCCTCGTCTCTCCAGCTCGAGCTCCCTATCGCTCTTCTTCACGAACACTCAAGTCGACCTGCCCCCCTTTCATTTTTCTGTTATAGCTCAGGTTCGTATCTCTCTGTTATGGCTTTTGTTAATAAAAAGCACGATATGTTCTCTATGTTTTATTCAGCTCTCAGCTTTCTCTATGTCTGGTTCTTTGTTTGAAAGCCCGACCTTTTGTTTGTTATTTGTCCGACTGAAATGAATTGATTTTAACACAATTTGCTCTGGGTTTCTGTATAAATCACCAATGGGTTTAGATGTTCCTGTCAGTTCTCAGACGATGTTGGAGAAATTTGTTTTCTGGGTTTAGTTTTGAGATTTTGGATTCTGGGTCGGCCTGATTTTGTTCTCATGTTTACTTGGAGGCCATGTTTTATTAGTATTAATAAAATCAAAACGTGTACTTTGATGTATGTAATTTTTGGTTGATTGAATACAATCGCGTATGTGATTATAGAAAGAAAAAAAATTGAATGGTGCTTTGAATTTAATTTATGTTTCTTCTTTGTTTCAAAATTTAGGTGCTTTCATGCTTGGTTTTCTGGTCTTGATTGAATTAGTTTCATATGACTCGTTCCCTTGAACCAATAGGAATAGGTGTTGCCTTTTGGAAACCCCTCTGAAATTTTATTTTCATATTTGATTTGGAAGATCATTGCAGGAGCAACTGTATATATATATATATTTGTTTACTTATTTATTTATTTATGGTTGAGCTTCTGTCTATGCGTTGTATTTATCTATCTGCTGATGAAACGGCCATGGTTTGATGATATGAGAAAGTATTCCTTTTGTTGTGTATAAGTTTAATTCTAATAAAACTAATTGTCTGATTGAGCTTTGATAATTTGTGTGTTGTGATTTCAGTTTTCATGGTGAAAGTCCATAATGGATTAGGAGGCCAACCAAATTAACAAGTTCAGCAGTACAAAACTTGGTGCTTCCCATCTTTTGGTAATCATTCAGCAAAATGATTTCTGTTTGTAGATATGGCTTTAGAAATAGTTACATGAACAGAAACTTCAGTAGGCTCTGTTATGAACATTTGTTTCATCAATACTTGTCTAACCCGCAAAGGATGGCTGTTCTTTCATATAGTTCGAATCCAATTAATAGCACTTTGAGGCCTATACAGTATTTGACTCAAACCCAAAGTGACCCAGTTCCCAAAATTGTTTCAAATGGATTTCTTGGTATATATGAGCGGTTTTTGTTGTATTACTTTTACTCAACCAAGCCCCCATCGCGATCTTTTAGAAGGAGGGAAAGTAAAAGAGTCAACTCCAGTAAATCAACTCTTGATGAAGTCCAATTTCAAAGGGCCATATCCCAGTTGTTGCCAAGATTTACACCTGAAGAACTTTGCAATGTTATAACTCAGCAAGACGATCCTATTGTGTGTTTAGAGTTGTTCAATTGGGCATCACAACAGCCACGGTTCAAACATGATGTTTCTACTTATCACATTACGGTAAAGAAACTTGGGGTAGCTAAAATGTATGAAGAAATGGATGATGTTGTCAATCAAGTGCTTGCTATTTCCTACATTGGTTCTGAGGCACTTTACAATTCCATTATCTATTTTTTCACGGAAGCTCGGAAGTTGACTAGAGCTGTCAATATATTTAAACACATGCAGAATGGCAGAAACTTGAATTGTAGGCCTTCAATTAGGACGTATAATATTCTTTTTACGGCCTTTTTGAGTAGGGGATCTAATTCTTACATAAATCACATGTATATGGAGACCATTAGGTGCCTGTTTAGGCAAATGGTGGATGATGGGATTGAACCTGATATTTACTCTTTGAATTCTATGATTAAGGGGTATGTACTTTCCCTTCATGTCAATGATGCACTTAGAATATTCCATCAGATGGGTGTGGTCTATAATTGCTCGCCCAACTCATTTTCGTATGATTATCTCATCCATGGGTTATGTTCCCAAGGCCGAACAAACAATGCTAAGCAGCTGTGCAATGAAATGAAGAGTAAAGGGTTTATCCCAAGTAGTAAATCATACAACTCACTTGTGAACGCTCTGGCTCTTAATGGAGAGGTTGAGGAGGCAGTGAAGTATTTGTGGGAGATGATTGAGAAGCAAAGATCGGCTGAATTCATTACTTATAGGACAGTGCTCGATGAAATCTGCAGACAAGGAAGGGTGGGAGAGGCAATGAGGTTGTTGAAGGAGTTCCAAGAGAAAGATCTTCTGAATGGGCATACTTACAGGAAGCTTCTATATGTGCTTGAAGATGACTATGGAGATTCGAGTGCCCACTCTCAATTCAGGTAGTGTCATTGATCATTTGTGAGCACATCTTCCGATTACTTTGATGTTATCTTCCATAAATCTACCGGACTGCCAATATTGTTAGTGTGGGATAGTGCCTAAATTAGAGCCTATATGTGGTTGGCATCTGGTGTGCTGCAAAATTTTCTGAATAGGTTGTTGATAAGTGGATCTGGTAAATTGGATATGAAGAGGCAATAGTATAAATTTTGAATTCTTTCATATACCTGTTATATCAGTCACTTGTAGCCTAATTGGCTATAAGATTTATACAATCTTTGTAACAAGTGTTTGGACGAAGCTTTTTATATACCTGTCATTTCAGTCACTTGTAATAAGTTTTATCTATTGGAACAGGTTGAGTCTCCACCTGTTTGAATTGGGAAGTATGTTATCTTGGAATGATAGTTATTAGTTTGCAGCTTACTCAATTTGCTTAATTGGATGTGAATAAACTCTGATCCAGTGTTTCCTTCATTGTTGCAGATAAACTGAGTTCTAAAAGTTGCTCTCTTTTACTGTTGAAGTTAAGCCATTGCATCACTACATAGAGTTTGACAATCACGAAAAATGTTGCCATTTGGTTGAAAATCAGTATAGGCAATAATAACATTTTAGCTCACCTCAAACAGTGCTGTTAAGAAATCAGCACAACCCACTCTACGAGAGCTTGCTGCCAAGTATGTATTCACCGGCATCTCTTCCACTGGCACATGCTCTCGTGGCATCCTCCTCCTCGTCCAGGATAAATCCAAGTGATCTGGAAGGCTCTTTACTCCAATTGGTCCAAGAGCACCACCACGCCTCCGTCACAATCCACAAACTCACTGGTTAGTCCCCCCAACATTTGATCTTGGGTTTTTTTCTTTATGTTGCAAAAGTTCTTAACTTTTGTAATGAATTAGTTACTAACTAATTAATTAACAGTAATGTAAGTGATTGTGGCAGAGAAGGCACAGAATGAAGCCACTAAAAGGCAGTGTGTGTGGCAGAGCTTCTGGTGGAAGCAGTGAACGGTGGGGTGAAAGAGTTGTTTATAAACGAGAAACGAATTGAGCTTGAAATACGGGCATTGACTGCCACCATTTCCTCCTTCATCAAACAGACTGATTGGTGGCTCTCACTCACTCGTTCTATTAACACTGCCATTAAGGTTTGTTTAACTTTAAAAAATTTTAAAAATAATAATTAGCTTTTGAGAAATGTGGACTAGAGTCCCAGCTTGTGCATAACTTTCCAAAATGTCCACATGTAATTTTCATGCATAGCATGTGTTGTTTTGATTTTCTTTTTCTCTTTTTAGCCAATAGCTGTGCCAAAATTTCTTGTCACGGCTGAGTCCAACTAATCCTTTGTCATGCTTTTTGGTCTTTTTTCTTTTTTTTTTCTTTTTTTTTTCTTTTTTCTGTGATGTTTACAAGAGTGGGATGTGCTTATAGTTTGACTCTTTTGTGGGTTTGTTTGTGTAGTAGGAAATCGGGGACTTTGAGAACTGGATGAAGATAATGGAATTTGATTCTAAAAGCATCAATGCAGCTATCCACAATATTCACCAAGCATAATCGCACAGGTCACAGCAAGTTGTTTCAACCGTCACCGTTCTATTTTTGTTTCTCAGTGAAGTACCTTAATCATGGAGTAACTTAGTACTGCACTACATAGGCTTTCTTCTCCCCCGCCCCTATTAATGTCCAAATTTGTTTTACGGGCACTGTGCACTTTGCCTTCACCAAGAGCTCTACAACAAGGGAAAAGGAAAGGAGGGTTTAGTAATGGGGAGGCACTACTTGCATTCGAAGTTTTATCACTGTGCACTTTTCCTCTTAACTTACTAATTTGTTGGACGTTGTCTTGTGGAGTCGCCACTTGTTTACCAATTGTTTTGAGTGAGTTTCCCTACAAACATGAGAAGGATTTTTTGCCATGTATTTTTAACTGCTTTATCTCATTAACAAGTTACTTGGAATACCATATAAAAAAATCAACTAGGAATTCGATGTAGTTTGATCTTGTAAAAAATTATTGTCTCTGCGTTGAATTGTAGTGCATATAATCCCCAAAAAGAGAAAGAAAGAAAATTGATCAAAGCATATCATTAAACTTGACAGACTCTGGCGTCCACAGTCTAGGCTTGCGAGTTGCGACTTCTCTTCTCCTCGATACCTGACTGAGAAAATCTACGTCGAAGAATGTCTAGAACCTCTTCCATTTTCACATCTTTAAGGGCCAGCAGAACCATGGCATGATAAAGCACATCTGCCATCTCTGAGGCAGCTCGTGGCTTATCTTCATTGTCCTCTAGTGTTCGGCATAGCTCATCTGCCTCTTCCCTGGAGCAACAAAGAAAACCATGAACAAAGGTTAACCATGAACAAAGGTTTACTGGTGAAAATTAGGATAGTTCATTTACTAACATGGTTCTCTGGTAAGGATAAAATGCATATGAGTTCTCTAGTTCCTTTTGGTACCTTTGATTTCTTGAGAAGTTATCATACAAGGTTAAGAGAAACTTATATCATTACAACTCAAATCTGACACAATTTGACAATTTGAACATCATACCTTATTTTTGAACACAACAACTTCTCATCAAGTAGTAGTCGTCGAGTCCACGAGGGCTTTCCACTCTGTGGGACTTCTAATTCTCCTTTTCGCTGGGCAATTGTAGACTCCAATGAGTACAAAGTGGTCAATGCTAATTTATCTTCTTTGTCCTGCCACAAATTATCTGAATCACTTACAAAACACTGTAATTCGACTCATGAATGAATGATAAAAATATGTAAGCTCTTTTAATTCATTAAATGCTGAAAACCTGTTGATTTTCTAACAAATCAAACACTGGGATGTAATAGCAAGTCTCTGATCCTGTGTGGCAAGTAGGTCCATCAGGCTTCCCGAGGTAAATTATCTGAGAAATAAGTCTGAGTTAAAGTAATTAAATCAAGCACATAAACATAGATTAAAATATATATCCAGTTAAACTAGCCAGCAACATACAGAGTCTCGATCACAATCAAGGAAGATGTCATGGACATTAATGAAATTATTGGAGGTCTCTCCCTTTGTCCACAACATTGAACGTGACCGACTGTAGAATGTTGCTTTCCGTGAGGAAACTGTTGTAGCCACTGCTTCCCTGTTCGCAAAGCCTTGCATCAAGATGGCTCCTGTGTCAACATTTTGAGCTATGGCAACCGCCAAACCTCTGTCATCCCATTTTACACTATCTAACACTGTTTCAACCTGAAATAATACTAACAGATATTACAGTCTCATCCATTTGCATATCCAAAATTCTATCTTGATAATGGAGAAGGGGAAAAACATGATGTACAGAATAAATTAAGACAAAACCTATAATATCTGTCACCAATATGAGATATGGCACTATAATATCTGTCACCATGCGCATAACTAATTTTACATGGAGCAGTTATGGCTGATAGTCAGAAGACAAAACCTACGGGTTTGACAGAACTAAACAGCTGAATCAAACAAAGGTGGCAAGATAAAGAATATGTTAATGTGGAAAAGATAAACCATACAAGTCTTACTGAAAGGATCATTCAAGAGAAAGAATACAAAATACAATACAAGTGAAATTTAAAAACTTGGCATCTGTGGCAAATCACATAGAAGTGGCATCTGGTTTTCGTCTAGTTGTTACACCTGTGTTTTGGCTTTCTTTTGTGGTCATTTTGACCACTGCTGTATTTTCTTGTTATATGCAATAAAATTTGTTTCTTTAAAAAAAAAGTTCTTGGAAAATGATAAATTAAAAAAAAAATTAAACAGTAGCCAGATGAACATGATGAAGTTCTTAAAAAGACAAGTATAAAAAATCAAGGATTACAAAGTTGAGACTGTTTGATTATCAGATAATCAATATGAAGAGAGAAAATAAATCCTTTTGGAATTATGGATAACACCACTGGAATGATGAACACCGGTAAGACAAAAAACATTTGAGCAGTAGGAACACCGTTCTCAAGTTTTGTCCTATCTTTTGCCAATAGGTTTTATGGTTCCTCCTATGTCCTATTCAATATATGGTAGACACTTACCAGTGCTCTCCTAAGAATGCTTCGAAAATGTATGGAAATTTGAGTATTTTTGAATGCACACTCAGAGAAAGAAGTTAGTAAAAGTAAGTTTTGATTTCTGACAATTGGCTGTTACCTACACACATATGTGACAATATCCAGCCGAAGAAAAGGAAATTTGAGTCTTTTTGAATGCACACTCAGAGAAAGAAGTTTGTAAAAGTAAGTTCTGATTTCTGACAATTGGCTGTTACCTACACACATATGTGACAATATCTGGCTGAAGAAAAGGAAATTACAAGTATTTGTCAATAATATGAACAATTAAGAAAGGGGGTGATGCAGGACGCATATGACCTAAATTTATTAGTTTCCTAATGTATTTGTTAGTTTCCTAGATTCTCTAGTTTTCCCAATTCTAGTAGGATTTCTACTTTTCCAGATTTCCAGATTTCTAGTTTTAAGTTTCCTATTTTATTTGGGTTAGGATTTCTGTTTAAGCAAGAGATTTTTATCCTATTATGTCTAGGTTTTAGTTTGCTATAAATACCCCCCATGTAGTTCTTTAAAATTCAGATTTGGATATTGAGTAAACCTTCTCTTAAACTATGTGATTTCTGTTCTTCCTTCTCGGTTCTCTGATTTCGGTCCTTTCTTTCGTCCCTTCGATCTATATTTTCGTCTCCTCGATCTTTTAGATTCTTCTATGTTCTATTGTTTGAGTGCTTAATCTAATACCTACGGTCTGTATTACATCAATTGGTAATCAGAGCCTTCCCTCCCTTTTGCTTGCATTTGCTCTCTGCCATGGCACCCCAAACCGTGGCCAACCTTGCAGAACAATGTCATGCGTTCCAAGACAAGGTTTCTGACGACATCGCTGGCATAAAAACCCAGCTCTCCAAGTTCAGCACTGACCTCAAAGAACATAGTGCGACGACGGACCTCACCATCGCCAAACTCCAAGACTCCGTTCAGATGCTTCTCAATCACTTTCGGCTTGGAATGACTGAGCCTTCTTCTACCTCAGCTGTGCTCTCAAGTTCGTTTACGCCGCTGCCAAACGGTGGCCTTCTTCCCAATCCACCGCTGGATCAAAAACTCAAGGCCAAGCCACAAGGTATTCCGAATCAATCAACGGGATTATCGATTGGCATGCCCAAGGCTCAATTGGAGCCCATATTTTCTTTTGGTTCTAGGCTGCAGCCTAACCATACCCAACATACGATGGGTTCTCCTCTGGTTGACGACAACATTCATGTCCCTACTCCGCCACCCCGACCACACAACAAGAACTTCATGCACCAACCCTTGGATTTTGAGATAACCCGACATGCCAAGCTAGGTGTTTTTCTTGAACCAAGGCACTCTAGCGACGACTTACGAACACAATGGATTGAGGGTCTATCACACCCACACACGCGCTTGCATTCGTTGGCCGATGACGTTCGTCATGGGTCTAGGCAGAGCTCTCTATTTGCCATTCTTACAAGGACTAATGTTCCATGCTTGCGGAACGGCTGGTTTCAAGGTGGCAAATATGATGCTGATCTTGAAGACCTAAAAAACGCAACATGCCTCTTCACACTTCCTTGGGATTTTGATTTTGTCGCTGTTTACTCGTCGGAGTCGAGTTCTTTTCGGCGGAAGAGAATGATGCAGGACGCATATGACCTAAATTTATTAGTTTCCTAATGTATTTGTTAGTTTCCTAGATTCTCTAGTTTTCCCAATTCTAGTAGGATTTCTACTTTTCCAGATTTCCAGATTTCTAGTTTTAAGTTTCCTATTTTATTTGGGTTAGGATTTCTGTTTAAGCAAGAGATTTTTATCCTATTATGTCTAGGTTTTAGTTTGCTATAAATACCCCCCATGTAGTTCTTTAAAATTCAGATTTGGATATTGAGTAAACCTTCTCTTAAACTATGTGATTTCTGTTCTTCCTTCTCGGTTCTCTGATTTTGGTCCTTTCTTTCGTCCCTTCGATCTATATTTTCGTCTCCTCGATCTTTTAGATTCTTCTATGTTCTATTGTTTGAGTGCTTAATCTAATACCTACGGTCTGTACTACATCAGGGGGTCAGTATGTAGAGTTCACATGTGGCCAAATATAGCTACACTTATACGTAAACTATTGGGGAACATTGGGTACTTTTCTAGAAGATGAATCATGCTAAAGAACAGGTATTGAAATGAACCAGTGTAACAAATTTTTATTTTATTTGAGAAACAGCTAAAGAACGGGCATTAGATGTAGTCAGTGTTGATTCTATAAATGCTAATGGGTTTATCAAGATAAGATAAAAACAATGAAGAATCCTTCTGTATCACTTATTAGAAATATTTCTATGTAATACTTTTTCTTTGGAAGTGAGGAGCGTACAGTCCAGATGGTATCGAACAACAATGGACAGCTTCAAGATATGCTAATGAGAAAAAACCATCCAGCAATATCATTCTCTATTTTCTCTGTTTAAGACATGTAAGTCCGTACCACAACACAACAGTCCAGGTATGATCTGACTGCATAAATAGGTACCTTTGATTGAAGATGAAGGTCCCTGTTTAAGTTGTTGGTGGAGGCATAAACAAGGGAACTGCCCTTTCTCGTGAAATTGTCTCTACCATAATAATAATTGTTAGAATCGGAAGGACGGCCGGGGAAAGCAACTCTCACAGATTGCAGACAGTGTAAATGTGAAATCGCCATTCATGTCAAGCTTCCTGTGACATATACAAGATGAAGCCATTTCTCACCAAAAAGGAACTAAAAAGCGAAAGAAAAAAAAACAACGCATTCATGAAAAATGTCCACAATGATATACCTAGGAATCAAAGAAATATGTGTGAGGCACTCAAGATTAAAATCTTCAGAGGAAATGAGACAAATGAAATGATACCTGCAGTAATCAGATAGATAAATCATGAGAGTAATGACAGTACTATGGGCGTCTCTGTGTTCTGTGTGTGTGTGTGTGTGTGTGTGTGTGTGTGTGTGTGAGAGAGAGAGAGAGAGAGAGAGAGAGTACCATAGCAGAGAAATTCTTCCACCAGCCGCCACCCTTTTTCTGATTCTTATGATGTCCTGAATAAAGAGAAAGGTTTATGATAATGCTCTGTAGATAAAAAAAGCAGGTTCACCCAATGACCAGACTTGAAAAAGTAGTCCCACCCAAAAAAAGAAAAAGAAAAAAGACTTGCAAAGGTAAGAACTAATAAAACAGATAATCACATATTGGCCTAACCTAGCATTGGATATCTCCTCACAGAACTAACATATGAAGTGAATATAATTCTAAAACAGATTCATGCTGATGAGGCAAAGATAGAACATCATAACTTCTCTAGAAAACTTTTTTTTTTTAAATTTTGCAGTGATTTCGTATTGTAATCACCCACTGGATAAAAAACCTATAATCACCCAATAAAGATTCTAAAGAAGAGTTCATTTTTGTTGCATGACCAAGGTCAGCAAAACAAATTGGCAACGGATGTCACCGTAATCTGGTTCAAGTCACCTCCTTTGAAGATGGCTTGATTAAACCAGTTCAATCCGGTCTGAAATTCGAACTTGCATTAGCAATGACCCCAGCAGCAACATTAGGGGAAAGACCAACTTTATCAAACACAATCACAAACTCTTCCTAAGCTATTGCTATAACCACATAACTGTCACCACATTCATGCAGTTCAACTAATCAAGGACTACATGGGCGTTTTGTTGTGAAAACTACGCTGCTGTAATGTGAATGATTGCTGCAAAACTAGAACTTGAAAGTGTCCAACAAGTTTGGAATCACACTAAACACATTTTGAATATGCCCTCCTACTTTCTTTCTTTTTGAATACTGCTTAAATTAATAAAACAGAGAAGACCACTGCACAACAACAAAGGCCTAAACAAAGCCGTAAAGAGTAAAGACAAGACCAGGCCATACAAGGCAAGCAAAATGATCAAACAAGATACTTAAATATACATAACAGTATTTCAAATTCAGAAAGATCACAAGGCTACACACCGAATTTCTTTTAGGCTCAACAAATATGTTTTCTTTACAACACCAGCATAAAAGTTCTAATTCTGTTAAATTCCTCGGCTCATATTCAAGGAAAGGAAAACAGAATTTGAATTCTTCCTGTGTCATCAAATCATAAGTTGCAAATAGGTAACTTTAGTTTCATAAAATCAAAATTCAGTACAATAAATACAAGTTCACTTAAGTTGATCTGCATATGATAGCAGAAGAAAAATAACAAAAGAAAAGTATATGTGAATCCAACTCTACAGATACAACCAAATGTCAGCATAGTGCTTAAACAGGAACCTTGAATTCAACTAGACTAGAAATAAACCCAATAAGCAACCACATAATATCAATGTCATCCATTTCACATCGTTATCACCATTGAGAATTTTCAAATTCTAAAGGAATCCCAATTGGGTTTCATTACTGTGTAACCAATCAATTATCCTTTTCACATTACAAAGCCAATCCAGTTCAAATAGTAGATAAAAAAAATGGGGGGGAAAAAAAACCGAAACTGAAAGGGAAAAAGCAGAGCAGAATGCTAAGGCATTGACAAAATCAACTCAGATCTGAACATGCTTTTACAATCAGCTCAATTCATAAGTAAGTAAAACTAACCAATCCTAAAAATGCAAACAGCTCAATTCAAGAATCATAACATGCTTGAATTTCCATTGAAATTTTTACGTCTTATGCCATGTGTTGAAATAAAAATACAAAGAGTCAAATTAATTAACACCACCAAAGGCAGAGCTAAAAAACCCAACTGCAAACGACTCTAAATCCGAAAAATCAACAGATCTCCCCCACCCCCTTCTCTCTCTAAAAGCTTCAGCAAATTCTTAGAGAAGCCATTGAAATTCATATCCAACCCACCAACTTAATCAAATTCTTAGAGCATATAAATGCCAAGTTTTCACCATCAAAACCCACATCAGTGCATTCCAGTATCACATGATTCAAATGTGAACAAGAGATGTGGGTGCGTTTGTGTGCTGACATACCAACTCACCTTCGGACTTAGAGAAAGAGAGGCGTAATGCTGCTGATGTTGCTGTTGCTGCTGCTTCTACTGCTCTGTGCTGCCGATAAAACAAACGTATGTCTATATCAAATGTAAGCACGTGTGCGTGCTCTATTTTATTATGGGCTTCACGGTAATTCCAAACCCAACCCAAATTTTGGCCCAACCCAAGCACGTTTTGTATTGGTATATACAGAAATTGATCTACACACCCAATTTTAATGCCAAATCTACCGTTATGAAAAAATGACACCTTATAAAAGCACATTTTATTGCCACGACTACACATTGAAACCAAACTCCCTTCAAATTTTTTCACCAAAATGACGATTTCACCCTTTACTTAAAAAAAATTTAAGTAAATGACCATTTAGTGTAGTGATTTTGAGCAATTGGTCCCCCGTGAAAGGTCCTGTGTTCGAGTCCTAGCATTTATGTAATGTGCGTGAGTTCGCCCATCTCCATAAGATAGGTTCCAAAAAAAAAAAAAAAAAAACTAAAATTTAAATGAAAAAAAACATTACTGGGCCTTGAAACTGGTGTGTTGTGTCCCCTTGGATTGAAGCACCGGTGCACCCTTTAAGATGAGGTGCTACTTTCCCTATGTGATGGCCTAAAACAAAGCCTGTAATTGTTAACTTTTTTGTTATTTATAATCTTTTTTATTTTAAGGAACTGATAGTTAATTTTAAGTGTCCTTTTAGAATATGTTGAGTGTGTTGCAAGTAAAGGCATAATTTTTTGAAGTGCGGGCCTATGTGTGGAGAGCAATGGCGGACCTACAAAGGCGCAAGGAGGTGCAGTTACACCTCCCCTCGTCGGAAAAAGTCATGGATGTGCTGGATTTGCCCCTTTGCTCTCTAGCATTTTAAAAGGTATTATCAAGGCGCACCTCATGGAGTGCAACGATCTGAGGCCTCCTGAAATCGCATCACGGCACCATTCGTATGGCAAGTTACACGATTGAGGCACGCGCTGTGTTGCAGAGGAGTTGCAGAGGTGTGTCGCTGATGGAGGCTCTGGTTCACGAATGAAGAAGACAACCCTATTTTTATTTGTCACAAACGGCATCATCCTTCATTTACGTTTAAAGAAATGCGTGTTTCAATGAAGTGTTTTTAAAAAAATCAAACTCTTCGGTTTTGGTGCAACCGTTTCAAGATTCATTATTTTGCTTCAATTCCTTGGTTGTTATAATAAATATTTCATTATAATAATGTAATACCCAAAGGCTTACCCTCAATGCTCCCAATTTGAAGAAGCCCATCTATCCAAAAAAAAAAAATCCAAAAAAAAAAAAACAACAACAACGAAGAAGAGTCCTTGCACAATGCTCTCAAATCACAATTTGATATTAGAGTTTTTGTTTAATTAGGACTTGATTGATACTACTTGTTTGTTTGTTGATCTAATCTTTTTGCTGTGATAATATGTTTTTATTATTAATTTTGTATTTATTTTATCGTCCTAATCAATCTTAAAATGAACTAAGGGTCTGGTTTTCATAATATGTTTTTTATTCAGTCCTTGGGCAGTACCAAAATCATTATTGCCCCTCTCCTGAAAAATTCCTGGATCTGCCACTGGTGGAGAGCAACCAAAAGCTTGAAGATGAAGATCAACTTTTTGAGTGTGAAGAGTCAGACAATCATCTTATTTAAAATTTAGATGTGATCACAAGTTATAGTTTTATGATTTACACAAGTAAATTAGTTGTATATCTTTGTAGCTTTGTTTCGAGTTATTTGGAAATGATTTGATGGGGTTAAGTGGCGGGTGTATGTTTCCTTCTCGATAAATTAGCTTGTGGCCTAGTATTTTATTTTTCAGTTTTTTATTATTAGGTTTCGCAATTGAAAAAATCAAACTATAAAAATCTTCTATTGAGATTTCACCATGATACCACGAAGGAAATTAAGATTTCATCACAAAACCACTTTTCAATGTGACAAACACTCTCACCATAAAATTTGAAAATTGAATGGCTATTAAATATTTTATTTAACAATTCCCCAGCAGTATTCTCTTCTTCACGATCTTCTTCACCCTAACAATTAAAAAGCAAAAAGAATTAAATAAATAAATAAAGAAAATTAAATGAAAGGATAGGATGGTCATTCACCGGAAAAAGAATATGCTTGTGCAAAAGTGGCGACACCATGTCTAAGGATTAGGGCATCAAGCAGCGCCGCAGTGGCAAGTGAGCATTACAACCGTTAGATCAAATCCACCAAGATCCAACGGCGCAGAAAGAAACCCTAACCAAACAGCTGTAGCAATTGCTCCTCTTTAAATCCCCAGGCCTCTCATTCTCCTCACCCTCTCCTCCATCTCACTCTTCAGACTCAAGTCTGCGGCGAGAGAGATCCCCCCATATATTCTTCTTGAGTTTCTTGAGGTTCGTATCTCTATCCTCCTGTTATTGCTTTAAGCCATTGTACCCGTTTGAATGTTTGTGGCTTTAAAGTTTGGTTTTGTTATTTGTTTGTGTTAATTGATGAACTGGGTTTTGTTCAAAGATGGGTTTTAGATCTGGTTTTCTTGTAGAAATGGCATGTGGGTTCTTTTGATGAGTATTATTGTTTGCTGGTCGAATACAATCTTGTATCTGCTACTGTAAGATCTGATCTCATTGGTGTTTCTTGACATTTGTTTATGGTGTTTCTTTCCAAATGTTGTGTTATATATTATTAGGCTTCATTATCTGGTTTGTGGATTTTATCAGTTCCATGTGACTCGTTCCCTTGAAGCAAAATTAATAGGTGTTGCTTTCCATAAATTTTTACCTCAAAATTTACGTCTTGTTTCTTTGGGAAACAGTGGAGCAACTAAATTTTCCAATGGTGTAAATTTTGTTCTTTGTTTTTATTTTGTAAATTTTCCAATGGTATAAATTTATTTGCAACTGTGATGAACCTTCAGACCTGTAATGATATGCGGATATGAGCGCAGATCTAAGAACATCTAAGGGACTGAGTTTAATTTTTTTTCTCTTGTTAATTGGCGAAAACTTTTTTCATTACGCATGCTTTGATATTACAATTTACAATGAAGATTTTTTTTTTGTTACAATTATTTTATGGTGATATACAGTTTGTAGTATTTATTTACTAGCAACGGTGATGATCCTACAGACCTGTAATGATTTGCGGGTATGATCGCAAATCTTTAAGAACATCTAAGGGACTGAGTTCTGCAGTAGTAGCACATACCTAATTTTTTTTGGGAAAATATTTTACCATCAATTCTTTGTATTTGAATTCTTAGTTGTTGCTTTTGTTCAGTCTGTTTATTTGTTTGGTGTAAAATATATGTTACTATGATCTTGTATTCTATTCAGGCTAATTGCCTGTTGAGTTTTGACATTTTTTTTCTTTCAATTTCAGATATCTTGCTGAAATTCCATCATGGGTAAAGAGAAGTTTCACATAAACATTGTGGTCATTGGCCATGTCGACTCAGGGAAATCAACCACCACCGGTCACTTGATATACAAGCTTGGTGGTATTGACAAGCGTGTTATTGAGAGGTTTGAGAAGGAGGCTGCTGAGATGAACAAGAGGTCATTCAAGTATGCCTGGGTGTTGGACAAGCTCAAGGCTGAGCGGGAACGTGGTATTACTATTGATATTGCCTTGTGGAAGTTTGAGACCACCAAGTACTACTGCACAGTTATTGATGCTCCTGGACATCGTGACTTTATCAAGAACATGATTACTGGAACCTCCCAGGCTGATTGTGCTGTCCTCATTATTGATTCCACCACTGGTGGTTTTGAAGCTGGTATTTCCAAGGATGGTCAGACCCGTGAGCATGCTTTGCTTGCTTTTACTCTTGGTGTCAAGCAGATGATTTGCTGCTGTAACAAGGTAAAGCTTATATTTTATATGTCAATGTTATTGGATGTCAGACATTATGGTTTTTGTTATTTATTAGCAGCGCTAACACAGGACTCATTATTTATACTGATATGTACAGATGGATGCCACCACTCCCAAGTACTCAAAGGCAAGGTACGATGAAATTGTGAAGGAAGTCTCATCCTATCTTAAGAAGGTTGGGTACAACCCAGATAAAATTGCCTTTGTCCCCATATCTGGATTCGAGGGTGATAACATGATTGAGAGGTCCACCAACCTTGACTGGTACAAGGGTCCCACCCTTCTTGAGGCCCTTGACTTGATCAATGAGCCCAAGAGGCCCTCAGACAAGCCCCTCCGACTCCCACTTCAGGATGTGTACAAGATTGGTGGCATTGGTACCGTGCCTGTTGGACGTGTTGAGACTGGTGTTGTGAAGCCTGGTATGGTTGTTACTTTTGGTCCCACTGGACTGACAACTGAAGTTAAGTCTGTTGAGATGCACCATGAAGCTCTCCAGGAGGCTCTTCCAGGTGACAATGTCGGATTCAACGTCAAGAATGTTGCTGTCAAGGATCTCAAGCGTGGTTTTGTTGCTTCCAACTCCAAGGATGATCCTGCAAAGGAGGCTGCCAACTTTACCTCTCAGGTCATCATCATGAACCACCCTGGCCAGATTGGAAATGGATATGCTCCAGTTCTTGACTGCCACACCTCCCACATTGCTGTCAAGTTTTCTGAGATCTTGACAAAGATTGATAGGCGATCTGGTAAGGAGATTGAGAAGGAGCCCAAATTCTTGAAGAATGGAGATGCTGGTATGGTGAAGATGATTCCAACCAAGCCCATGGTTGTTGAGACTTTCTCCGAGTACCCACCACTTGGTCGTTTTGCTGTGAGGGACATGCGACAGACAGTTGCTGTTGGTGTCATCAAGAATGTTGAGAAGAAGGATCCAACCGGCGCCAAGGTCACCAAGGCTGCTGCCAAGAAGAAGTGAGATGTTTGTTTGACCGTGCCCCTGAGCTAGGCTAGTTTTGTCCAATGCTGTTTCTTTTCAATTTGTTTGGTGTTATTATGGAAGTTTTGTGGACAGTTTTGAATGTTTACATCGTAGTTCTCTACCAACCCCTTGTAAGGGTTGTGGAGGAGCTGTGCAGTTGGATCACCCTCCGGTTGCTCTGCTAGCTGTGTTGTAGGCTCGTCGTGTTTTCGTTTTATACATTGATGAGTTGTGTAGTTGAACAACTTCGTATTAATGTTTGCAATTTCTGTTTTTGTGTTTTAACTTCGATTTTTCTCCAAATTTTTGATCTTATGAGATTTGTTGTGCTCAATTGTTTACTATTCTAAACATTGAGTATTCTATTGCTTAGCAGGTTTCTTTGTTTGAAGTAACAGAGTCGCCTTTGCTAGCCTCTGATCAAACTTATGTGACCAAAAAGGATTTTAAAATTTTTAGCATTCTCCAAATACACTGCTTACAACATAGGGAATCTAAAATGCACGTTCTTGCGATCTCAAAATGTATGAAATTGTGTTGGATTAATATTAATTTAGTTGGAAGTAAATTCTGTCATCACCAAATAATTGTTTTGAGCAACATTTACACAGGATGCCGTCTTCGCACACTAAGTTGGATGAAACCTAACATGCTTTTCCTGTCTCATAGTCTCATAATGACAACTAAACGAGTTTTATAGATACCAATGAAAATAAACCTTCAATATAAATATGTTTGGCATATTTAAACATCTTGTAAATCCAAACATAGATTAATTGTGATAACCTTAATTCCACAATAACATAAATCTGCTCAATACTTTGGATTAACCTAATGAACATCCAACGAAAATCTCCTGTGAAAATGACTTGAGTATTTAAATTTGTTTACGAATACAAGCTGCTATTGCCCATATATCAGTTGTAGTTAGTATTCGCCTCACTGGAGTAGTCATCCCAAGTACAAAATTGTAATGCCGGAACCCAACTACTGAAGATTCGCAGCTGTCCATAAAAGCATATACCGGCAGTCCGTCACAATGTGCACTAGTGCTGGTTCAACACGCAAGTCACATCTGCAGAGGTAACGACATCCAATTGTTACATACAAATTGATCCCAAGGATCCCCAGATCCACATTCTCCAAGTCATTCTTTAAACAAAGGAGATACATCCATTCTTTTTCTTTAATAAGTAAATAAAGGAAATTTCTCAAGATTTCATAATCAACCTTCAGAACCTCTTATGGGGTACAATGAAAAAAAAGCTCTACAAAGAGATGTTTAGTTTCTACCTGACAGTAAATCACAATTCTTTATCACTGTCAAGCTGTGACTTTGTAGCTGCCTTTTCAGCTTCTTCTACGACAAAAGTCTTAAGTGATTCAACATCCCTCGGCCCTGACCATTTGCACAAGAAACAATAACTAAGTCAGATACTACACCAGAGAAAGTCTAATAAGTGTTTGAAACAATTAGCCTTGAGTGCCTGCAGGCTGCACTTGACTCAAGTCTACAAATAATGCACAAGGCAGATGAAACAGTTATTTGGATTGGTAACAGAACAAACCCACTTCAAATCTTAAGGGATGGCTTGAATGGCCAAGCCAAATACACCCATGTACACAGCCACAGACACATGCAATAGTGGCCCGAAAGATCAATTTTAAAAAGACCTAAAAAATCATTTCCCTCATCCACAGATTTTTCAATTACCTATATTTGATTGTGGGACCTTAGTAGTTGACTGTAACCTGAGGTATCAACACTGATTGTAACAGACAACTACGAAAATAATTTCCCTCGTCAAAGATTTTGCCATTACATATATTTCTTATGGAACCCAAGTAATTGGCTATAATCTGGGGTATCATACATCACACAGAAATTATAGTCATTGTGTTTTTTAACCATAGCTACCAATCTAACAGTTAACAGAACTGATCTCACCGTAAACATACTAAATAAGGCGGCCATTATTACACATGTACACATACTAACTAAGCCAAGGTTCTTCACCACAACAAATATCATCATTATCACTGCCATAAAAAGGCAGCCAATCTTTCACAGGTACACACTAAACACAGCACCCCTTAAACATTCTAGAAATTTCCATCTCACATTCCCTCCTCCACCCAAAAAAAAAGGAAAAAATAAAACATAGAACCATGCACACATCTCTTTCATCATTGCGGCACACAAAGGTAAATTAATTGCAATAAAGATTACTTTTCCAAGATGATACTGTATTGCCTCTTTCAATATCTGACGCTACCAAATGTTAGGTCTTCTTATTTGTGTTGTGATGAATTTTCAATGTTGTTTATTAAACTTAGGACACTTCAACTGTCCAGACTCTAATAATATAAGTTGCCAAGTTGCTGAAAATGGCTTGAAACTACAGAATAGCTGATCTGGTGGTCAACTAAGATGCCCAAAATAAATTACTTTCCCAAATGAATCTGTATCAAAATAAAATGATTGAAATCTATTTACTATTTGGCAAAGCCCTCTTCAACAGGAATTTCATAGAAATTTAAAAGGCACATTTGATCAAATTATAAAGTGATAGTATAACAATAAGGCTAAGTTTTGAGATTCAGATCAAATATAAGGCATTATGGTGGGACATAGATGACAATGGATGAAAACACAACTGATCTATCAGAAATGAAATTTGAATCCTACCCTGATATTTTGCAACTTCTTCTCCATCATAGAATAGCTTAAACGTAGGATATGAATGAATGTCAACTTTTGAACATACTGGTTTACTTGTGCTGCAATCAACTTCCCCAATCTCTATTTCATCTTCGCCTTCAATTACCTTCCCAAGGTCCTCCCACAATGACCCTAATTTCTTACTGAAAACAAATGTTGTTATTACTAGTAAGAATATCAATCTTAAAAATCTCATAATCATAGACTTAGCACAGCTGGGAAAACTTACCAATGTTTACACCATGGTACACAAAATTTCACAAACCATGCAGTATCTTTCTCCTTCACCTAAGAAAACACATATGGACATAAACAATCAGCAAGGCCACAAATCATAATTAGCTAGCTTGAGATATCTTTCCAAATTACTTCCTACTAACTCAACCTTTTGTCCCCCCCTGGAATCCTACATTTCTTATAAAACCCAACTCATAACATTTTTCATTACCAGTTTGATTTCGGTGTATAAAATCATCATTCATGCAGCATCCATACTAAAATTAAAACAAAATTCACTCAAAGAGCAAAACTAATGTAGGCATTAGGATTATAAGACCACCAGGGATTGGTGAGTTGGATTAGGGGTAGGAACCCCAGCTATATGTGTTTGTGTGTAGGAAATGAAAAATATGATCTGCATCAAGTCCTACCCAATCTGCCAGAAATTGGGCACAGAACTGAAACACATCTGGAGCAATAAAAGCACAGCAATAACTCATAAGCTTATTTCATATATTGGATCTGGGATTTTGAATGTAAAAAAATGAAGAATTTGAAAAGGGTTTTAGAGTTGTTACCTTGTCGGAGAAGGTGTCAGCGGTTAGGGTTATAACCTCGGCTCGGGTATGAATTGTTATACTTAGAAGAAGAAAGAGAAGAGCTGACATGAAAATTAGAGAAGCAGAGTGGGTTTTCATCGCTGCTGCGAAGATTACAAATTTCCGGGAAATTAGATTGAAGGGTAAGAACGAAGCCACTCAAATACCTAGAGACGGTTGCTAGTTCACAAAGCGAGAAAAGACAAGGCAAAAAGGCCACCAAAAATAAAAACAAGCACACCACATTGACAATAACGATAAGGGAGGTGATGATAAAAAATTATGTGATTACCATATTAACCTTAATTTTTTTATAAATATAATATATAGTCTAAATTAGACTAAATTAATCTAATTTAGAGGAGGGAGATTTGAATTTGGGAGTAAAGGAACGAACTCATTGACTGGCCAACTAACATAACCTATATGTGCACTGGGCAGTCGATTCTCGATGTGAGGCCGATTCATGTGACCGATACTTGCATTTTTTCCTTTGTCGTGTACACACCAACTTTAGAGTTGTTCATTTAGGGGTGGGCATAAAAACCGAACCGAGTCGAACCAAACTGAAAAAGGAGGAATTTTGACCAAAGAAAGGGTCAACGAGTCGTGGGTGCGGAGGCATGATTAATCTAAATATGTCGACTTATCTAATATTTTTTGAGAAAAGGTAGTAAGATCAATTTAAGAAAATAATAATAATAATAATAAAAAAGCATACTTACCAACGTCCTTTAAGCTGAATTTGCTTCCGTTCCTTTTGAACATCTCATTCAAGTCTCTTTGTTAAGGCCTTCTCTACATTTGAGAAAGTAACGCACCATTGAAATTGCAAATACTAGACGCAGCAGAAGCCTAATTTTTGCCCTTTTAACAAAGCCATCAGTTAAACCATCAAAGTGCCTCAACTCTGGCATTTTCCTGTTCTAAACAGATTCTATCCAAGAAACCAAATTTAATGGAGTATGTAAAGAGGAAAAGTTATTATGTGGGATAGGCTTCAGATGTCTGCACCAATGGTTTGAAAGGTTCATATATCATTGCTTTTGATGTTAGTTTTTGTTAGATTGAAAGTGTTTTGCTTACTTCTTGTTGGACTTCATCCTTGGTTAGGGGTTCAAAACACTGCCATGGCTAAATATGTATGTCAATAGAATTGGAAATTCATAGATTCATCACAAAGCACCAAGTAGAAACATAAGCAGTAGATTTCTTATTCACAAGCAACTCATTCACAAACCCATGAACAGATACAGAACCAGAAATTCAACTACCCAAAAAAAAAACAAACAAACAAAAAAACCTACACACATAAACAAAAGCTCCTAAAATAGCTCTGAAAAAAAAAAAACCCAACACCACCAAACTCTTGTTCACCTCCACCAAGACCCTTAATCAAAACCCATAACCATGTCAGTTCCAAAACTCTTGATCACTTCTGGCACCCTCTCAGATGTCCCCCTGTCATCCCCCTTTGGTTGCTTCCTCTCATCTCCCTCCCTTGGCTGCTGCTTCTCATCTCCTTCCCTTGGCTGCTGCTTCTCATCTCCCTCCCTTGGTTGCTGCCTGTCCTCCTTGTATGGAGGTGCTGCTTGTGCCGAAGGCAAGATCACCGCCTCGCGCTGAGCATCGATAAACTTTCTCAACCGATCCTTACTCACACCGAAAGCAGCTGCAAGCTCAGGTCCTCTGAGTGTCTGAAGAACAGAGCTAGCACCAGCCAAAAACTGAGGCCTGTTCTTCCTTGCCGAGGTTGTGAATCCAAAGAACTCAAGCGGCCCGGTTCTTGATGCAATTTGACAGAATGGGAAGTACCTCGGCACCCAAAACACATCACCGTCTTGTATATTGGTGTTCATTGCCGATGTCCCATTTGGGAACACAATCTGTATTGTCCCAGAGCCTCTCAACACAATGCCGTACTCTGTTGCTGTCGGGTTCACATGCGGCGCCATCATAGCCCCTGCGGTGAGGTTGACAAGGTAGAGACCTACGCCGGAGTCTTTCAATGGCGCATAATCCGATTCGTCAAGCTCCATGCTCCATCCGTAGTTGTTTCGGAAGTCGGGTTTTCGATTATAGAGGTTGTAAGGCTCTGGTGATTTTCCTTTTCCCTTGTCATAGTCCTCTGCCCTCTTCTTGTTGTCATCTGAACCGGCTCCAAACACCGAGTTCAAGAGCTTCCTCCATGACCATGTTTGTGTTTGGTCTTGATGATGATCAGGTTCTTGTTGGAAGTCAACCATTTTCTTCATTTCTTGGAGCCTGTCTTGTTCTTTCAGCTGGAGGAATTTTGCCCAGAGGTTTGGTGAATGAGAATCACTCAAATACACAATTGGACCCTTTTGCTGACTTGTTAACACCTCTGTTAGTTCTGATGATGAGACCTGCAAATATTGTGTCATTAATTTTTGTAGGGATTCTGATTCTAAGGGGGCCACATTTCTGATCATATTTAAACCACATAATGATGTTTAATCATAAATCACTTAATTAACACTTAATTAAGTACAATTAAGTTTGGATGCTTACATTGAAGGCATTTGTGAGTATGTCATGGTCAAACCCAGCAAGTACAGATTGTGGGTTGATTCCTCCACCAATGAAGAAAGACTGCATTATTTACCCCCCCCAAAAAAAAAAAATCAAAATAGGGTTATAGAGATTGAGAATTTTAAGTGCTATAAACCTTATTAATTCAGAAAATTTTATGATGATTAAGAAATGAAATTTATTTTGCCTGCACAGAACCAAGCCCCAAGCTCTCAGATGTGTCCAGGCTGCAGATGATATGAAGCCTCTGTCCTTCCCCTGTATTCACCAAGTAAAATGGAGAACCAGCTGGAATTCTATAAACATCCCCAGCCTTCAATCTCCTCTCCCCCAGTTCATTTCTGTAAATCAAACCCACCTTTGCTTCCCCTGCAACAAATTATAATTATTCCGCTCATAATCTCATGCAGAATCTGCCACTTTGCATACTTGCATGCATTGAATTCAATTCAATTTTAATCCAAGAAGTAAAACCAAATTAAGAAGAAACCAACAGAGGAACGCAAAATTAAGCAAATAAAATATTACCTCTGCGGACAAAGAGGACGAGGTTTGAGTCAAGATACTGAGGGATGAAGAGGGACTTGGGCTCCATTGTAATAAACCCAATATGCATTGGCTTATCAACAACTCTCCCTCCCACCCTCATCACAACACTCATCTCCCCTGCTTCAGTTTTCACCACTTGCCTTGAGTGTGGCAGCAAATACCAATCTTCTTTTTCTGATTCTGGTTTCTCATACTCTGGCCTCCTCATGTCACCACTTCCCGGCATCCCTTCTTTCCCCTCCTTCTCTTTCCTCAAATCTTCATCTGGGTCACCAGTGTACCCCACAGCCACTGAAACTCCATACCACATAACAAGCAGAAGAACCCCAAAGCCCAGAACTCTGTTTCCCATTTTTTCTTTTTCTTTGCTTTTGCTCTCTGATGATCTGATCAGTTGTTTTTGCTAGCTAGTTTCCACTGCATGAAGCTTCTGGGTGAAGTGGTGGGGGAGTTTATGAAGAGGAGAGGGAGAGAGTTGAGGGGGACACGTGTCCTCCATGCAGAGTTTGGGGGGTTTGCTGGCGGGTTTTGGTTTAGACACAGTTGGGATTTGAAGAGAAATATTCGAACACTTTGTAAGACAGGAGTCATCGGCATGAATATCTCAAACCAAACCAAACCTAACCTTCTACCCGTTCTCTTCAGAAATAATCAGATTTTGTTTTGTTTGTTTTCATTCTAGTTTTAAACTCGCAGTAATTTTCTGGTGTTTACTATGTCTAAAGACCACATGTCTGAACAGAGCTCTTTCCATTAGCCTTTGTTTTTTTTATGTCACAAGCTGTTACATGAACAAGATTCTTTAACTTTGTAGGAGAAATGTATATCATCAACAGATCATGCAGCCTTGAGCCTTATGTTATGTTATTGATCCATGTAATAAATGCTGAAGAGACTTCAAACACTTGTATTCTGATTTGTTGCTAGAAGCTAAATGATGATTTTTTAGGCATTAATGGTAAGGAACAAAGTTTCGTGAGTCGGGGTCAGTGGGATTAGTCGAGGTGCGCGAAAGGCTGTCTGAACATCTCATAGTATTTACCCAAAAAAAAAAAAGTTTCGTGAGCCTAGCATATCATTATTTTTACTTCAATTTTACAGTTTTGGAGGAATGACCACCACTTTGTTTTCTTCTATTATTTTTTATTCTTTTAAAGAAGTAAGCTTATCGAAATGAAAATGCCATACATGTAAACGGGTTATACTAACTAGTTATCTCTTTTTTCAATGAAATAGAGGTATCAACCCATAAAAAAAACTAAACAATAAAAATAGTACAAGTTCTATGAACTCTTAAAATATCACCAGTCGAAGTAGCCCCTACCCAACCGGAGATATCATCAAATAAAGACAAATGCCCCAAGCTTCAACACAAAAATACAGTCCCCATACTTCAGCTTTTAGGATTTGACATTTTCCAAGATTAGCCACAAAACCACTAGTCCAATCCGGTATGTCATCACGAATTACTCCTCTAGCTCCAATGGTATCAGAATCACGCTTACATGAATACATTGAGCTTGTAATAGCCCAAGGGGGGAGGCTCCCAATCAAGAAGGATTTGACTAAGTAGTCATATTTGAGTACTATACATTTATTAAAGATTGTATTAGAGCCTCTCCAAGGGAAGAGGTAAAAGAAGAAGAGGATAAGGGTTTGAAGAAGGCACTGATCTTTGATTGCATTTCATGAATGCATGGAATTTGATATGGGGTTCGATATATGATTGCATTACGCCTCAATCATCATTTACTTTGATTTCGGGGATGTGGGTGGCGGCTGGGGGCTGTGTGGGTAGGGTTGATACGTGAGGGGAGGGGAGAATTTGCTAAGTAGGTTTTTTTGTTTGTTTGTTTTTTTTTATAAACAAAAAAACAATAATTGAAGAATTGTTTATTATTTATTTTGCCAACATGGAGTCCATGTCATTAAAAAACTGGGCCCATATATTAAATTACCAAAATATCCTAGTTAAGGGGGGAAAGTGGTTCATTTTAAGTTTGGGGACGCAAAGTGAAATTTGACCGTAGTTTCAGGAGACATTGGTGTAATTAAGCTTTTAAATTTTTTTTATTTTTTATATTGACGATTTGGGCAAAATTGGTGAGAGAATGGCTGCAAATAGGCTTCTAAGTGGTGGGATATATGAAAAAGAGGGAGATTGAGGTTCTGCATATGTTGATATTAAATGGGGGTTTGTAGGAGAATGTGTGGTATAATTAGGTTAACTTCCTTTTTTATATTTAAAATTCTTTTTAGTTATAGGGAATTGATGGAAATACCCTTAAATTTAAGGGAAAATTTAATGAAGTTAGACATAGGTGGTGTATTGCAACAGTTTACAAAGTTCATCAGGTGGTTAAAACAAAAATTAAAATTTTAGGTGGTAATAGCGCACATGCCTAAAAGTTAAAGTGATATTTATGAAAATTTCCCTTTACTCTATCTTTCCTTGCTTTTGGGAAAATTCAAACTTAGATAAAAGTTAGGCAATCAAGCCCGCTAGTTAGGGTTGCGAATATTGCTAGTGAAAAAGTAAGGAAATTTAATTAATTAGGTTTATGTCCATTTTAATCAAAATTAGGTTTATGTCCATTTTAATCAGAGAATTCAGCATCAAACTTGTCCACTTGGGGCTTTGCTGCAAGCCTATAAATTGGTCATCAATCTTGCAAGTCATAAAGTAGTAATATTAATCTATAGCTAACAAGAAAAGTAACTCCAATGGCTCCCTTTAAAACAATTCTCTTTGTGTGCGTCTTGATTGCTGCAGTGTCATCAGTTTCGAAAGCTCAAGATCTCGGCCTTGGTGGTGTGATCAGCATACAAGGGACTGTGTATTGCACTGTCAATGGCACTGTGGGTGCTGCGGGTCCCCTTCTCACCCCAAAATTCCCAAGTAAGTTAACTAATTACTTATCTTACGTTAATTGTATGGTTTTAATTAATTAATTAAAAATCGTTGTGTTTTCTTGTACGTATCTACACAGATGCTACTGTGGTGCTCAAGTGTGGAGCTACAAATACGACGACTGCTTCCGTGACAACCACTAGAGTTAGTGTTCTCGATCTTGTTGGATCTTTTGAACTTTAATGTCTCTTCCATATTGTCTAATTGCAACGTAGTGCTTACCACACCACTTGCCGCTTGCAACGCCACTTTGTCTCCAACACAGACTCTCACATCGCCCTTGCAGCTCCTTAAAACAACCGTTATCGACAACCACCCTGTCATCAGTGTTGGTGCTCTTGGGTTCCGCATCACATCTTAATACATACATACATAGGGGCGGAGCCACACTGGGACCAGTATGGTCACGGGCCCCCACTCAATTGTTTTATATTTTAAAAGTAATATACTGTTATGTATTTCTATATGTATATTATTTCAAATACTTTACGTTTTGATATATATCCACATGTGTTGTGGCGGACCTATTAAGGCATAAAGAGGTGCTTGAAATTGCCCTTTTGCTCAACTGGTAGTGGTGCCCTCCAGGTGTACAGATTACCTTATTTCTATTTTCAACATTTAAGTAAATGTCTTTGTCCTTTTACTTTCATTTATTTTTTATATTACTCCATTTACTTAAGTTTACAATGTAAATAAGGAAGTACCCCATATTTGGATTATAAAAAAAAATACTAGAAAATTAAATTCCCACCAAATCAAAATATGAAAAATCGGTTTTAGTGCAAAATACGATTTAGGCTAAAAATGATGGCTCATTAAGTCAATATATACTTCATACTAAAATCCCATAAAATCAAGTTTTCTTATTTGATGTGTAAGGAATAAAAGCCGCCAAAAATTATCTTGAGAAAATGATTATTCCGAAAAACCATTTTTCATACTTAGTCAATATTTTTACATAAAACATTTTTTCATGTATGATATGAATGCATGAAGGGGACCTAAGGTTTTTTTTAGTTTGTGAAATTTTGATTTTTTTTCTTTCTATTGGGTTTAATGGGGGGAAAAACTTTAAAGATATTTGCTAAATCACTACTCTTTGTCTATCTCTTGCAATTTTTCTTACTCAAAATGTATTTGTCTATCCCTTTGTTGAGGACAATTATGATTGCAACCAATAAGTAATATAATTCTTGACATATGTGATATACAGGGACGAATCTAGCTATTGGGCTGTATGGGCTATAGCCCATGCCATTTAAAAAAAAAAAAATTTCAATACCCATGTTCTCTTTTTCTTTTTTTCTTCATTTCTCTCTCTCTTTTTTTTTTTCTTTTCATCCTTTCTCTCTTCTTCTTTCTATTTCCTTTTTTTTTTTCTGCCTTTCTCCATTTTTTTTATGGTTTGGATCTACTACGAATTGAGCTTTTCCCCACAGTTTCTTCTTCCTATTTCTATTTTTTTTTTGCTTTTCTCTTGTTTTTTCCCTTCGTTTCCCCTTTTTTTTTCCTTTTGCGTTTCTCTTTTTTCTCTCACACATGTTGGAAAGTCCAACTTGATGCGATATGGCACTCATTATTGAAATTTCCTGCGTACGTAAGATAAATCTAGCCCATGAAGTTTTGAAATCCTGGATTCGTCCTTGGTGATATATATATATACTATTTTTCGTATGTATTGTGAGTTCGAATTTTTGATTCTTTATAATTTGTAAGAGGCCTCCACACACATGAAATCCTGGCTTCGCCACTGTATATGAGGCTTCTATTCCATGGCATGTAGCTATCTACTTTTTTTTATTTTTTTGTTGTATGAATAAAGGTCAATTAAGGGTACGTACGTAACCCCAGTTTGACTAGGATGCATGAAACCCGTGCAATTAAGATAAAACCAAGGTTTTGGGTTCAGTGTTATTGTAAGAAATACATAATTAATAAAGGCCATGATGATCTCTTTCGATTTATATACACCCTATTATCTACTTTGTCTTTGCCACATACACATTGAATTATTTAATTGATTTCTTGAGAAGAGAATGAGATGAGAGCCCTGGCTTAAACAGAACTAGAAGGATAATTCCCACTTTTCACTATTGTCCTTACCGTAAAAATAAATCTCATAAAGAAGTTCGAGGGTTACATTTTTGTGGTTCGCCTAGGCCTTCAAAACCTTAATTAGGACAACCCTCGCTTCTGTCTCACTATGCAAATACACCGAAATAAACTTTAATCAACACCGCAAAAAGCATTGAAAGTAAAATCAGAAATATAATGAATCAATTGACTGTGATCTTGCCAGATAATAGGCCAGTCAACCCATGAGATTTATGCAATTCTTCGAAATTACAAAACACCGATGTTTGCCAACTGTGTTTTGTTCGTTAACGATAATAGAAAATTTTCTAATTTAGTCATTTCAACCAGTGGACAAGTTCATCTCTCATCAACTCCATTTCAAACAAAAGGGAATGTTAGCAATATTCTCTCTAACCTTCTCTTTTAGACCTTCTCTCTTCTTCTTATGATTTGTGTCAATTTTCTTACACTTAAAAATAATGTCATTAATGCATTAGAAGACGAAAGAGAAGAGCTGACTTGAAAATTAGAGAAGCAAAGTGGGTTTTCATCGCTGCTGCGAAAATTACAAATTTCCGGGAAATTAGATTGAAGGATAAGAACGACGCCAATCAAATACCTAGAGACGGTTGCTAGTTCTCAAAGCGAGAAAAAAAACCAAAAAAAGGCAAAAAGGCCACCATAAATAAAAACTAGCAAATGCCATATTGACCATAACGATAAAGGAGGTGATGATAAAAAGTTATGTGATTACCATATTAACCTTAATTTAAAAAAATAAAATAATATATAGTCTAAATTAGACTAAATTAATCTAATTTAAAGGAGGGAGATTTGAATTTGGGAGTCAAGAAACGAACTCATTGACTGGCCAACTAGCATAACCTACATGTGCACTGGGCAGTCGATTCCCAACGTGAGTCTTAATTTAACCAGACCGTTGCCCAAATTGTGGGGCCGATTCATGTGACCGATGCTTGCATTTTTTCCTTTGTCGTGTACACACCAACTTCAGAGTTGTTCATGGGTAGGGGTGGGCATAAAAATCGAACCGAGTCGAACCAAATTGTGAAACCACATATTTGTATATACATATTGGTGAATATTTAGTTCATAACATAGATATTTAAATATATATATATATATATATATGTACATATAAATTTATACGAGTTAAATTTTTAGATTTCCATACTAGTTATTAAAAATAGTAGTAATATTATAAGTAATATATGTATAGCTTTTGACAGCTTTATCTCTTCATTTCTTGCTGACCAAGTTCAATAGCCTAGATTTTTTTTACAAACACACTTTAAGACTCCAAGTGTCATTCTAAACACACTTTAAAGACTCCAAGTGTCATTCTACCTAGGTGACTAAGCTTTTTTTAGCATGAGGTGTTGGCAATTAGATGATAGCTATTCTAGTCTTGAAGCCCAAGTTCCCACGTAGTCATCACCTCCCCACCAATGAGAACATATTGATTCCTCCTTGAATGTTACTATAAATAGGACATTTCCTTTGTTTTTGAAAGCACTGAACCTTGCATGAAAGTTTCAGCAAGGAGAGAAAAACGTAGAGGGAGAGAGAATAGTGAGGAAATTCTTGGAGGAGACATAAGGGCTTAGCTTGTGTTTTCTTAAACTTGGAGCTAGCTTTGGAAACGAGGTAGGGGTTTCTTGGGGGCCTTTTTCAGAGATTGATTTAATTAAATTTTGTGAACACTATATTATGCGTGATATGATTATTTGATTAATATTCTTGTTACAATTGAATGTTTTTCCTGGAATGTTTATGTGTTCTTGACTGGTTGAACAATGTTGGCATAATATTGTATATACATTGTTGTGAGATACATGAGATGTGAAATGCATAATTATATCATGTCATGGAAATTGGTTGGAGTTGCTAGATTGAGAAAATAATAATGGGAAAAAGGGTAATGGAAATAGTCTTTTATGTAGTTGAGTCTAATTCTTGGCAGGTACCATGTCTCAAGGATCCCACAGTGCACATGGTTTTTATTGGGTGATTCGGGACTGACGAAAAGGAGTTAGACAAGATGACTAACAAAAGGGGAATTATGGGACGGTTGAAATGGGTGTTAGTTCATATAAATGGGCATTCGGGACCAAGTGGTATAAGCATGGTATGGGACGTGCATGTCTGCTTGTCCAGTTATATGAATTAATGAGATTAGATGAAGAGCATTCATGCATTATTAATAATAATGTGATATTTGGATGTGTGATTGTTTGTCATTTAATTTAATTATATCAATTTCATGTAAAAAGGTTTATGTCCCTACTGAGCTGTGGTTTCACTCACCCCCTAACAGATTTTGCAGGTACCGAACCTAAAATCTAGAGCTTGTGATGATTTTGGCATATCTATAGAGTGTAGTGTGTACATAGCTTGTGGATGAATAATGAGCTACTCTTTTTGTGGATTTTCGAGTAGTTCTAACTTGTAAAATAATGTAAAATTTTTAAGATTTCAAATGTTGTCGTTTTTATTTTATTTTTATATTCTATGTGAAATATTTATTTTATTTACTTAAATGTTTCTTCACATTTTAGTTATAGTTTTTATTAAATTCTATAATTAAGGTGTGAATCACGTCTTAACCCAAGGTTACTTAAATCCGTGGGTTGGGACGTGACACAAACCGAAAAAGGAGGAATTTTGACCAAAGAAAGGGACAATGAATCGTGGGTTCGGAGTTGGGACGTGACACAAACCGAAAAAGGAGGAATTTTGACCAAAGAAAGGGACAATGAATCGTGGGTTCGGAGGCATGATTAATCTAAATATAGACTTATCTAATTTTTTTGAAAATTTGAAAAAAAAAGGTAGTAAGATCAATTTAAGAAAAATAAATAAATAAATAAAAATAGCATACTAACCAACGTTCTTTAACCTGAATGTGTTTCCATCATGTTTATGCCATAATCAACCAAGCGTATTCATCACCAAGCACACATGCAAACCCTTAGAAGACGAGCGATATCATCTCCTTCTTAACCTACCGAAGGAAGGCCCCCCTTCCGAAGCGGTAAAACGCTTGCCGAAGCTCTCAACTACAGAACCTAGAACTATGACACGTGTCACCTCCACAGCAATTTGCACAAAGTCTCATATCGAAACTTTGTGCAAAACTTCCGTTTTCACTTCCCTATAACTAGGGAACAGTGCCTAAGTAAAAAAGGTAACTATTTTCTCACATTTACTGTTACTTTGCCAAAATTACCACAAATAGCTGACTTAAGCATTGGAGAGCCTTCGGCAGGCACCACACCAGTGTCCAAAGCATGACAACTGCTTCTTCCCATTGTCTTCTGTAGGTTCCTCAGTTACCGAATGTTTGCACCTTCTTCCTTGCTGAAGATCCAAGACTTCTCTACCAAAGTTGACCCTTCCAAAAAGAGCATCAACAGTTTGGCGCCGTCTGTGAGAATCGACCTCTGAATCCCAACCCCCTCAACCAGCTCCGCTGGCTCCTTCCCCTATCAAGCCTTGTCACCTTTTCTTCACCCCATACTCTGCCATGCCGAGTGAGGCCAACCATGATACCCAACGCCACACCCCCAGTGGGGGTTCCTCTCGAAAGAAACCTCCAACAGAGGGGGATCTCCAGGTGGAGGTGGAGCGCCTCCGCGCCAGCGTCGCCAAGATGTCGGAGAACTACGAGCACTTTCATACCAAAAATGTGGAACTAGAGCACGACTGCCGAGCCTTGAAGCGCAATTTGGAAGGCACTCGCCACTAACTCACTCAGCAGGACTTCACCCAGGATGTTGAGCACACCCAACTGAACTAGCTAGTCATTTCCCATCATAGTGCTCCCATTCAAACTAGGCCTGACAAAGGCAAAGACCATCTTCATCCAGAGACAACCAAGTCGAGACTTCTCCATATTCCCCCACCAAAAGATCGACCCGACGCCCCAACTAAGGTCTACAGGGATTGTAGGCACCGTATCTCGGAGCTTCGGCCAGAGCCAATCCAAATCCCTGTAGACCTCCATAACCCAAAGGTAACTCAACTTGGGCCCCTACCAAAGCCCACCCGTGCAGCTACCACAGAATAAGTTAGAGATTCAGACGATTGGGAACCTTATAACCCTGAAGACTAGGAGACCCACTATTCCGAAGACTTCGAAGAATGGGAAGACTATCTAGCCCCACCTACCCAACCCTACAAGTCTTCGGCCCCCAACTCTCTCCCTCATGCCGACCTTGCCATGCGACTCCTTTTCGAAAAAGTCCGACCGTTGGAGAACGAGCATCACAGTAGCCATCAAACCTTCTGGGTGAAGCCTCGACCTGGCCCATTTACGGAGCGTATCCTTAATTATCGCCATGAAAAGGACATCCAACTGCTTCGAATCGCCTTCTACACAGGTAGGGAGGACCCCTTAACCTATGTCCATTCTTTCTAGTTTGCCCTGGGGTGCAAGGGTCCCAGTGACGAAGGCATGTGCCTCCTTTTTCCATCCACCCTCGAGGGCGCTGCTCTGAACTGGTTCCATCGGTTGAACCCACAGACCATCAACTCCTTCGACAGCCTGAAGCAGACTTTCTTAGATCATTTCATGATCCAGACCGATCGATTGTACTCTGCGGATGATCTATATATGCTTCGGCAGGGTGAAGATGAACCTTTGCAGGAGTATGCCGCCCGCTTCTGCCATGAGTATTCCTGCTGTCCATGAGTATTCCCGCTATCCAGCCCTACCTACCCAACCAGAGATATCATCAAAGACAACATGGCCCAAGCTTCAACACAAAAAAACAGTCCTCATACTTTAGCTTCTAGGATTTGACATTTTCCAAGATTAGCCACAAAACCACTAGTCCAATCCGGTATGTCATCACAAATTACTCCTCTAGCTCCAATGGTATCATAATCACGCTTACATGAATACATTGAGCTTGTAATAGCCCAAGGGGGGAGGCTCCCAAGCAAGAAGGATTTGACTAAGTAGTCATATTTGAGTACTATACATTTATTAAAGATTGTATTAGAGTTTCTCCAAAGGAAGAGGTAAAAAAAGAAGAGGAAAAGGGTTTGAAGAAGGCACTGATCTTTGATTGCATTTCATGAATGCGTGGAATTTGATATGGGGTTCAATATATGATCGCATTACGCCTCAATCATCATTTACTTCGATTTCGGGGATGTGGGTGGCGGTTGGGGCCTGTGTGGGTAGGGGAGAATTTGCTAGATTTGCTTTTTTAGTTTTTTTTTTTTAAACAAAAAAAGATTTAATTGAAGAATTGTTTTTTATTTATTTTGCCAACATGAAGTCCATGTCATTAAAAAGACTGGGCCCATATATTAAATTACAAAAAAATATCCTGGTTTAGGGGGGAAAGTGGTTCATTTTAAATTTGGGGGCGCAAAGTGAGATTGAGGTTCTGCATATGTTGATATTAAATGGGGGTAAAAATGCTGAAAAGTCTGGCTCTTGCGCATAAAGGGATTCGAACCCCTCTCTTTGTGAACCATGCACCTGCGCCTTATCCAACTCGCTGCGGATGTGTTTGTGATTATATATTCGGCATGTAATATTTATAAGGTCTTTAAGATGTCTGCAAGGCTTGCAAGCTAATATTTATTATTTAGGATAAATTTCTATATTAAAAAAAACAACAAGGAGATTCGAACCCCTCCCATTTTACTCCTTCAACACCTTAACCACAATATCACTTATATTTTTGTGAAAATATGCTAATATATACGGTTTTGTTTTGAATTCTTTACTCCTTCAACACATTAAACTTCTTTAATTAATTACTACATATTTTCTACATTCACAGTGTTTGCCAGCTCGCTATATAATCAACTTAAATCAGTTAAATCCATCATGCAATGCATTTCCTTCCAATTTTTTGTGATAAACTAATAGATAATTGACTAAATAAACATCATGCAAAGTTTCAATAAAAATCTCCAAGTTTTTCTTACAATTTTCGTGGTTTTTATTCAATTTTTATCGATATCGATAATATCCCGATATTTCCATAGAAATTTCCGTGTTTTTGGACTACCGATATTTCCGATATCATCGATATTTTAGACCTTGGGTATAATTAGGTTAACTTTAAAAATAAAAATAAAATTTGTTTATATATTTATAATTCTTTTTAGTTATAGGAATTGACAGAAATACTCCTAAATTTAAGAGAAATTTTAACGAAGTTAGACATAGGTGGTGAATTGCAACAGTTTACAAAGTTCAGGTGGTTAAAACAAAAATTAAAATTTTAGGAGATAATGCACACATGCCTAAAAGTTAAAATGGTATTTATGAAAATTTCCTTTTACTCTATGTTTCCTTACTTGTGTCCTAGACGAAAATGCTAAAACCTAAACATGTATATAAATGACCACTTGTTTTGGGAACAAATATTGAAAATTCAAACTTAGTTAAAAGTTAGGCAATCAGGCCCATGTAGCTGGTTAGGGTTGCCAATATTGCTAGTAAAAAAAGTAAGAAAATTTAATTAATTAGGTTTATGTCCATTTTAATCAAAGAATTCGGCATCAAACTTGTCCACTTGGGGCTTTTCTGCAAGCCTATAAATTGGTTATTCTGTGCACAGCAATCTTGCAAGTCATCAAGAAGTAATATTAATTTATAGCTAGCAAGAAAAGTACTAGTAACACCAATGGCTCCCTTCAAAACAATTCTCTCTTTGTGTGCGTCTTGATTGCTGCAATATTAATTTATAGCAGGTGTGATCCGCATACAAGGGACTGTCAATGGCAATGTGGGTGCCGCCGGTCCCCTTCTCACCCCAAAATTCCCAAGTTCCACCAATTACTTATCTTACATTAATTTTATGGTTTTAATTAATTAATTAAAAATCGTTGTGTTTTTTTGTACGTATCTACACAGATGCTACTGTGGTGCTCAAGTGTGGAGCTACAAATACGACGACTGCTTCCGTGACAACCAGAAGAGTTAGTGTTCTCGATCTTGTTGGATCTTTTGAACTTTAATGTCTCTTCCATATTGTCTAATTGCAACGTAGTGCTTACCACACCACTTAATATATACATCATATATAGGCTTCCATTCCATGGCCTCTAGCTATTTGCTTTTATAACGAGCTGCAAGGCCAAGCTGTGTCATGGAACCCACGAACACGAACATTGACGATACTGAGGATGTCGATGACGGTTGTTCTAACGAGCTGCAAGGCCAATACGAGAGTTGTTGGAGACTAAGTGGCGTTGCAAGCAGCAAGTGGTGTGGTAAGCACTACGTTGCAATTAGACAATATGGAAGAGACATTAAAGTTCAAAAGATCCAACAAGATCGAGAACACTAACTCTAGTGGTTGTCACGGAAGCAGTCGTCGTATTTGTAGCTCCACACTTGAGCACCACAGTAGCATCTGTGTAGATACGTACAAGAAAACACAACGATTTTTAATTAATTAATTAAAACCATACAATTAATCTTTTTAATTAATTATACCCTTTAGAGCATCTCTAGAAGAGTCTCTAAATTTTAGCCAAATTCTAGCTAAAATAGCTAGAAAGCTATTATAAGTTTATAACAAACCACTTAAAGGTGTTTCCTCCAGCAATGTTCTCTATTTTGGCTTATTTGAAATATTTTATTATTATTTTCTATTTCTCTCTCTTTCTCTTATAAATCAAATATATTAAAAAGAAAAGTAGAAACCCAACCCCACCAACCTCCCAAATGTCTCTATTTCTCTCCGTCTTTTTCTCTCTTTCTCTTTCTCTTCAATTTGGCGAGCCTCCATTTCTCTCTCCTCCTTGCTAGATGTAGAGAGCCAAAAGTTGATTCTTGAAAATAGAGAGCCAAGTAAGGAGTCTGCTGGATTGAGGATTTTCCTTTCTTTTGTTGAAGAATGTAAGTCCCACATCGGAAACTTGATTAAATAAAATACAATATATATTGAATGGTTCCACTACTAATATCACCGAAACCTTTTGTGATAAAACTCCACACCTACTGAGCTTTGTAGGTGGTTAAGTTGGGAACAATATCAGTGTTGCTAGTATCAGAGCGGTTTGATTGACTGATATTGTCCCCAATTTAACCACCTACAAAGCCCAATAGGTGTGAGTTTTATCACAAAAGGTCTCGGTGATATTAATAGTGAAATCATTCATTATATATTGTATTTTATTTATTCAAGGAGTTTGCTAGAGATGCTCTTAAAGATGCTATTGCATGACATTACGCCACACACATATTTATGTATCTCTCGTTGTCACATGATGATTTCTCTCAACAAGCAACTTTGGGAAATACGTTAATGTGGTCTTAATATATTGTCGCGTAGCGTACAGATAACTCCTTTCGGACAATTGAAAAAAAATCAACCACGATAACTTGCCCTATAAGCGTGGCGCTCCTCCTAACGGTCACTTTTCCACAGACTCGCCCAAAATGACCGAGTCACCCTCCGAGTCACTCTCTGACTCGCCCTTCAACCGCAACATCGACGACAAGAAGAATGATATCGTGCCCGAAATCCCAATTGAGATTGTGAGCGAGGAAGAGATGGCTCTGCTAGAAGCTGCTTTGGTCTCCGCCCGCGCTTCCTTCTCTGCAATCCCTGCAATTCGCTCCTCAACATTTTCATTCCGCAGCAACGTCAGGTCTATTAAGTCGATCACTGCTTTATCCAAGAGGAGGTTATCGGGTTGCTCCGAACCCGATATTGAGGATTCGGGCGGTTTGAAGAGTGCCCAGAAGAAGACTCGGATGGCTGACTCGTTTTTGCACCGGTTTAGGAAGAAGGGCTTGTCTGTAACTGATATTACTGCCACGGTATAGAATTTCTTGGCTTCCAGACTTCTTTTTCGAAGTTTTTGCAAAATGGGTTTGGATTTGTGTTTGTAAATTTTGAGGCTTTATTGCTGTCTGATTGTGGATCATATGGGATTTTAGGAAATGCGTTTGGATGGTTACGCTGAATGTTTGAGAAAATTGATTTTTGAATTATATATTGCAATGACAAAGATTTATGTGCAATAGAATGATTTAAATTTGTTAGTTTTCTTAGTGTCACATCAATGTGTATGTTGGAAATCTAATAGCAAAATTTGATCAAAAATTTGATCAGAAGGACATCTTATTATTCCCAATTTGAAATCTTGTATTGGTTGGGTAAATGCGTGAGCCGGACTCCCATTGAGCATCTGTATCTCCCTGGAGTGAGTGTGTGAATGCTTTCATTTTCCATGTATTGTGGTGTTTTCCATATATAGTATAGCCAATGCAGCATAATTTAGCAGTACCTGTGGATAAACAATCTCAATAATTTGAACACTGTTATTATTTTGCGAGAGGTTGTGACTACTTTTTTTTGTAATCCAACTTAAGGATTTCAAAAGATATTTGACTTAGATCTATTCTATTTCATGTTAACAACAGGAATGGTGTGAAAAACAAATGGAGTTTGTTTTACTCGTTGGCAAGCGAAAAGTCAGCAAGGCTATGAAAAAAGGCAGTGCTCGCCATGCAAAACTTGAGGAAGAGGTACGCATTAGTGACTGACTTTTCTACTTTTGTAGTGTTTCTGGTTTTGTACTGCATGAATGGTACCTGTTTAAATTTTTTTGCCGAAGTACAAAGCACTCTTCCATACCTTTTTGTTGTTGTAGGGAAATTTATTTGGCTTTTGGAAGTTCTTATTCTTACCTCCATGTTTTCTATGCACTCTTACGATCTGATTATGTTTCTGTACAGGTTGTAAAAAAAGTTAAAGTTCGTATCGAATCAATAGAAGATAGATGGGCTCTGAAGCTTCTGAATTTTGTAACTGGAGTAAATCAATTATTATTTGAAGGATTGACGCGTGAGCTGCCACTGTAAGTTAAACCATCTCTTGTCTCTGATTCCATCTTTGAATCCTGATACACTATTTAGGTGGCTTTTAACGTCCAGATTGACAATGGGTTATTATAAAGGTTTTACCCATGCGAGGTCAAAGGTTTATCTTTCTGTTTATAAATTTATCTTTGTTGTGAACTTGTGAAAATTAATTAGATAAAGGTGGTTTCTTTAGCATGTGTGTTAATTTGATATTATTGGGTCATCATATCAGGATGGCCCATTCTTGTGGTAGGGGATATAGTAGTTCTCTCATATATAAGGAATGACACGGATTAAGCTTGCAGCTCTGATCCTTGCTTAGCAGTTTTCTTATAGGTTAAAGGTTAATATGAGCCCTGGATTGTAAAGATTGTAGTGCCTTTAAGTTAGTGTACATCTTGTCATGTAGCATGATGGAAATGATCCATAATACACATGATAGATAGAGAAAAGATTTAGAAAGTTGTATCGTCTTACCTATAGTAAGTTGAGACTTACTCCGTAGAAATATGCTTCATGCTTCTCTCAAATTGATAACATTTATATATTGGTATGTCGGAGTGGCAGGTTTGTTCTTGTACTTTAGACTTTCAGTTAAATCTCTCTCTCTCTAAGAAATTGGAGAGTTGATCTTTCTAACCTCCTTTCTGTCAGTGATTCGCTATACTTTCTTATCTTATCAGAATAGGTTTTGCAGAAGGGGTATGGATGGTGGGAGTGATTGATGAGATTCGAATGCCTGTAACAGAAACCATCAGAAACCCATTATTAGTTGACACAAAGACTCGTGTGAAAGATACACTTCCTGCTGAACCACAACGAAGAAATGGAAGGTATGCTCTTTTGTTGGTTTATGTTTCATTGCCATTGATGAGAAATGCTCAAAAAATGAAGTCACTCAGAACTTTTGTTTTGGCAGGCTTCAATTAATGTGCTACAAGTATATGTGGGACGATTTAGTTGCTGATAAATTCCCATCCAAGAAGTTTTTTGATTTCTTTTCCTTAAATCCTCATCATATCTTATCTGATGAAATCAGAGAGATGACTGCTAACTCAGGGTTCCCTGCAGAGGTAAAGATTCTCTCCACTTGAATTAATAGATACATACTTCTTAAACCGATCACTTAATAGAAAGATGCTTCTTCGGCAAAGAGCAGCATCTTTTTAGTATGGTCTTCACTTGTTATTGATGGTTTGGCCAGTAACCAAATGACATGGATCAGTTCATAAAAATAAAATGGTATCTAACATAGAGTTTTCGGATAATTACCACTTCAAACGCATGTTTCTATAGCTTTTGTAAAAATTTCTCTTGGTTGTGCAGACCCTTGATGATGTAGTGAGATACTATAGAAACACGTGTAGCATGCTCCCCCCTGCTCATGACCAGCTGTTATTGAGGTGAGAAACTAAAATTTATGCCAGCGGTTTCCATGTTTGTTTTCATGTTTAGTTTCTTATAGATGTTATTATTGAAGTCCCAATTCCTGTGGATGAATATGTTTACCACAAAAGATTCATGTGGTGCATACTAGTTGAGCACACATTAGAAATGAAAGGTAGCCAGTCCATTTTGATTATCCTAATCATCTGGTCTCTAGCTTTGGCCATCTTAAGTTGTTGTAATCCAGTGGACACTGATTTTTTCTTTTTTTTTTTATATTTTAATTTTAATTTTAAATAATGATTTGTAAGAGGCAACATCCAAATCTTATCTCACACCCCTGTTATGTACTTTATGTTAACTTAACATCAATGTTTCAAAAAGTAAGGAGCAAGCTGAACTTGAACGATAGACATTAGTTGTGATGCATAAGTTTACCGATTGTTTGTTCATGTGGACATACTTGGTGACAATATCCTTTGGAAAGACACTGATACGACTGTTTTTGAGTCAGATATGAGTTACAGAAAGATCATTCTTTACTTGGTGAAGATGAGTTTGCATATGACTCTGATTGGGTCAAGAATCAAATTCAGGGTTGTCTTGAGTTCTGGCTAGGAGAGCGAGAAGCCAGTTACACTCCTGAGGAAGAGCGATGGAAATGTGGGTTCTGTCAATATTCTTCTGTCTGCCCTGCTAAAAATGGTAACCATAATGATCCACCAAGTTAGAGAAAAACACTGGCATTGGCGGTGTTTCAATCAGCATCCGCAATAAGGGTACAAAGAAGCACAAGTTTTTAGAGTTGCTTCTTTTGTAATTGCTGTGTTGTATTTGTCCTTAGGATGTGCCATGAATGTATCGTTCATGTTGTATTGTGACCGTTATTTGATTCAATTGTTATAAATATTTTTTGGACGGAGTTGTCAAATTCAATTGTTTGATTGGTAAAGTTTATGAATAGATGTCTCTGTCAAAATTATGTGCAATACATTTAAGAGTTTCTGCAAAGACGTGCATATAATTACTTAAAACTAGTAGAGAGAGCTCCAAGTCAACACATCTTCATACATGATTCATGAACCCTTCAAGTGAAAGCTCTAATTTGTCAGCAGTTCTTTGAATTATCATCAACAGCCAGAAAATGTAGAAATGATTTAAAGGTTACACAAAACTCTCCTTTTTTCTTTTTCTCTTGGTATATGAAGTTTGGCGCTAATAATGAAAAGGAAAAGAAAATGAAAAATAGAGCAGAGTCACAAGACTCCGAAGTCCTAATACTCATAAACTAGAGTAATTTTTTTTAGCGTGATACTCACAGCGCCACATTGTATTATCAATCTATTTATATTGTAACACATAAATTTATTCGTTAGATTCATCCATCCATGTTTTAACACATCAATTATTAACACCAATGGGGTCATACCATAGTGAAAAAATATGTTAGCCCTCAAACTAGTGGTATTAGATTCGAAACCCCAAGACACTAGTGTGTGAGTAAACCCCGTCCCCTTCCTACTTTAGACAAAAAAAATAACACATCAATTATTAACACCACGTAATTGTATGTAAGTAATGGACTTTAAAACTGGTGGGGATAAGTCAAAGTAGCAAATAGCCCGCCGAAACTACAAAAACCATTTGCTTGTTTGCGCGCTCTCTCCCTCTCTTCTTCGTTGTGCTCCAAAAAACCAAGACCCGAGCTAAGAGATGCAAAGTACTGGTATGCTGAACAAGATCAGGTAAGCTTCAGCGATGAACGTGTGACTTTTGATATCCATGCATTTGTGTGCTTGTGTTTGAAATTCTAGCTTTTCCTATTTAATACTTTGGTTTGGCTTTATCAATATAGCAAAGCATTATCTGCCATGAACCTTCTGTGCTATGTTTTACACCTTCATGTGAATCATATCTGTATCTATTTGGGTTCTGGCTGGTGGGTCCTGGCAAACATTTGGATCACTGCTCTGCTCACTACACCAGGCTTATCTATGTTTTGTCTAAATTGATGCCTATTGGATGCTCGCCAACTGTTTGCAATAATTCCTCGTACAAGTGACATATGAATAATGCTAAAAAATAAAAAATTGATGGTTTCCACTTCACTAAGCAGTTTATGAGAAAACAAAATTTTGTCACACCAATTGTTGGTATAGTGTAATTTGATAGTCATATATGATTTATCTTAAAGTCACAGGTGTAAGTAGATATGTCAAAAATTGGATTTTTTATGGAGAGGAAAACAACATTGTGGTAAAAGAAATCAACAGAATTTGTTTGGCTGGTAATCTGAGGGACAACGTTAGAGGACCCTTTACAACTATGCTCACCCGGAATTTACTCTCAGTCAATGTACCTTGTTTGAGAGGTTTTTCATCAGCGGCAGCTAGTTTTCTTAGAACTGGGGATACACTGAAGCTATCTAGAATATTCACAAGTGAAGATGTCTTAGAATACTCTAAAGTGAGTCATGACTCTAATCCTCTGCATTTTGATTCTGAGTCCGCTCGAAATGCCGGATTTGAAGATCGACTGGTTCATGGGATGCTTGTTGCTGCCCTGTTTCCCAAGATCATATCTTCTCACTTTGTAAGTCTCTGATGCTTTATGTTTTTACTTTTGGCTTGTTTTTTGGTTATTCAGAATGTTACAGTATTTTTTATTATCTCATTAATGGGAGAAGGGAAGGAAAACAAATTAATTAATCAAGCTTACTTTTCATAATCACAAACAAAGAAACAAAAAATTTGAGGAAGCCTTATAATAAGAACCAAATTGGGTGAATATGAATTTCTGTTGTAGAAGTATGTAAGGTTGGAATTGAGTCAGAAATATATATGATCCAAGAGCCACATACAGTTACTTGATAATGAAAAAATTTAGCTATCACATTGTTGAAAAACATCCTATCCTGGACTCTTTAGTGCGAAAGCTCTCCAACATTTATGTTCAGATTTCTTTTTTTTGGTCGCAACCGTTGAGATCCGAATGTCTAATTTCTTGACATTGTTATGGTATTTTCAGCCTGGGGCTATATATGTTTCCCAAAGCTTGCATTTCAGGTTGCCCGTCTATATTGGCGAAGAGATTGTTGGCGAGGTAGAAGCAACTAATATAAGAGAACAGAAGAACAGATACCTGTAAGCTAAATTATTATTTGACAAAGCAATTGTTCTGCAGTGCATGACTCAAATTATATAGAGACTAACTTATCTGGGTGTTTGCTTGCATGTGTGGTTCAGAGTGAAATTCAAGACAGCATGCTTCAAGAATGGTGCTGTCATCATTGACGGGGAGGCAATGGCCATCTTACCTGCACCAGCTGTGGAACAAGCGAATACTTCGGCATGACAGAAAGCCGGTTCAGGGGTGAGCTACTGCCGTATTGATTGAAAGTTCAAAAGCAATTCAGTGTGGCTGAAATTCTACGTATGGTTTAGTCGACTGCTCCATCCCTTTATTTAATAAAAATTTGTCTCAAGGAAATTACATTGTAAACTCTAGAATCTAGATGGATAACGTCTACCTTTTTTATGTTCTTTTTTTGGACGGATGATTTCAAGATTTCTTCAATCGGCTCCGTGGTTCCCAACATTATATCCATGGAATTCGATTGTAAAAGCTGAATTAATTTACAATTACAAGTAAATATGTCTGAGGAAATACTACCATCAGTCGTGTTTCACTAATTTCTGGCCTTTGATGTATCAATGGCCAAAACTTAGAATCCCATTATGCATGGATGGATGGCTAAAAAATCACCCGTGTGCGAGCAACTGAATATAGAGATGTCCTCATATCTCCAATCTACTCGAACCCACTGCTGAGGGGGCTTCCCTGCCAGTCGTGCCATTACTGATCGAACCCATAAAACATTCACAAATTCTTGATTCAATCACCAATTAGCAGTCCATACTTTCCCCAACTTTGATTAAATCATTCAGTTTGACCTTAAATTTTGCTAAAACTAGAATATACTTATTTTGGTTAACCAAATTGTAATATTTCATCATTAAGTTTGAGTTTAAATTTTGCTAAAACTAGAATATACTTATTTTGGTTAACCAAACAGAAATAAACTTGTTTTGCACGAATAAGCAATAATGGCTAGTGTGCAGGGGTGAGCACTGGGTACCACCCACGATCGCCATCACCACCACTATCATGGGTACTGAATTCCCATCGTCACAGAGAGAGAGAGAGAGACAGAGAGAGAGAGAGAGAGAGAGACCTTTACTCTATTTCAAATTTTTTTTTTCCCAAAATCTATTTCAAAACTTCAATTGCCTATATACACAAAACTTCTCAATAGAATCAACTCGTCAAAATTTCCTTCTCCTGACATACAAAATTTTCTCCTTCATTTGAGCAGTGAAGCTATCTCTTCATAGAACACTGGCATCATCAAAGGAAATTGTACGAGGTCAATCTGGCCTGGCCTGGTCTGGTCCATCATGCCTCTAAAATGAATACAAACCTCAGAAAAATTCCAGCGTGCCATCAATGGTGGCAGGTGGGTCAATTGCAATACAGGTAGCCTTTCCCTCTGAATGCAACTGGGGTAACTTGTTGGCCTCCTTTGCTGCAACCCCTTCTGCGGTCCATAAGGTGACATGTGGCCACTCATTTTTCGATACTACTCTTTCTCCTTCAACAGAGCCAAGGCTGGCTTCAAGTGCAGCCATTTTATCCGAGAAGAACAGCTTAGTTAGATCCACAGGGACCGTTTTGTGGAGGAAGGTGCCATAACTAGCCACGGCAGTAACACCGTGACTTCTCTTATGTGCAAGAGTAACATGAGCCTTATTAAGATTCTCCAAATGCTTGTCTTTAAGGAAAGCTCCAGCTTCACTATTTTTCGCAGCCAACTGCATGAACAGAATACATGCATGATGAAAACAATTCAAGAATGAAATACACACGATTCAGTAGTATAAATTTCATAATCCAAAAAAAAAAAACCAATGCTCTTCTGGAGTGAGAAGGATTTGCGCTCCAAATCTGACTTTATCAGAAATAAGCAATGCATATAATCTGATGTAAACAGAAGTATAGTGCAGATGCAGATGAAGATTTGTCTGTCATTTCATTCTTGGCCAAAATTAAGGCACCGCCAATTCTTTTTTGGTATACAAGCAGCAGGAAATCAGGCATACATGGCAGTCAAGTGAAAAGATCCGGCCCACAAACACGAGGCTGCACCAGCCTCAGTGGCAGACTAAAAGCAGACTATGATAGCCATCCATTGTAAATCTTAATAAGCACTGTATTCACTAGATATTAGAAAATAGATATTCTCTCAGGGCTAAAGCAGAGCTGCAGAATCAAAGGTTCCTCTTCGCCTGGGCGAGTACAAAAATTTTACACAATGTCACCCAAGCCCAAATTGCAATAAACACAGCAAAACATTCCTAGCCCAGAAATCTGTTAGCCGCAGAATCAAAGATATGCTTCTCAAGGACTTTTAACAGTGACTAAGAACAAAACTTAGTAGTTAATTGGCTAATTTAAAAATCATACAGGTTGAAATTAGTAGTTGTTTGTCCAAAAAAGGATTTTATTTCATCAGAAGTCAGATGAAACAAAATAAGCAATTTAGATTCTAGTTCATATTATAAAGAAGAGATGAGTAGGCAAATATTCACTTATATTATCTGGTGGATTTTAATTAAGTTCTACATGATATTGCCAGTAAAGGGACTTGTAAGAATAGATGAGAAAGCAAACATTGACTTACATTATCAAGCAGATCACTGATTTCCGTAACAGGCAAGCTAACGGCAGCAAAAACAATGGCCCCAAACTTCTTCTTCCCAGTATCTGGAGTTTTGTACTCACCTTGTGCAATTTTTCTCAGCTGTTCTGATACGTCCTTAACAGCAGACTCAAAGGGAACCTGAGGACATTAAGATTGTACAGAGAGTTCATTTAATTATCTGAAAAATTTATGGTTCACCAAG